ACGAAACCAAAATTTGGGGTGCTTGCAGATCTATCAAAAACGGAACTCCTGGTGTATCAAAAACGAAACTTTTGCGTCAAAGTCTATTACTGTCCACCAAAAAACGGTTTCTTTACCTAAACTTGTTGTGATGATTGAATGATAATCTCAGTGTCAAGTTTCCTATTTTACTGCAATAGTAAACACGTCAGAGAAATAATCGAGACAATTTAATACTTGTAAAAGGACGATCATTATGTTCGATGCTACTGCTTATATACTAATTATTATTATTTCATTAAATTTCGATACATTAGCTGCGCGTAATCAGCTTGTGCACTAAGAAACGTTTGTAACGCTGAGCCTACTATTACGAATAAATTAAATGTTCGATATTCAGGGTAATTGGTTAGCACATAAGCCGCGAGCGAGAACAAAAGGTATAGAAAAATAAGACGTGTAATTATAATAGCAAAAGATATATATTATCGAAAAACCCGCGGTAAAAGCAAAACAGAAGGGACTCTTCGAGAACATTATACACGGCTTGTTTTACAAATTTGGCTATTTTTTCCGACAAGTGCGAAACCATTTATTTATCGGGTTTTTTTACACAAGCTCTATAGAAATGGTAAACAAATCAATTCTTTGCTACCGAATTATTAAAAAATTAATGAGTAAATTAACTAATTAGAGAGCATGCACGTTGTGAGTAACGCTCAATAGTACTTATTCACAAAATAACATTAAAATTAAAAAGCACGATAGTTTGTTTCGTCGGTATAGCATCTGGCGTTATTCGGGAAATACCGTCTCGCCATCTGCAGACTGCCCAAATACCTGTACGGAAAATGATCTTTGAGAATGGCCGGCAAAAATCCAAACTTTTTTTCAAACTTGCTAAAATCATCTGTTTCTTCATATCCTTCCGGCTTCGCGAGCAGCAACTCATCGACTTCCGTCTTTGGTCTGCGTCCGTCCTGGAAAAACCTTATAGCCTCTCCGATATGAGCATAGTCAAAAATATAATTCTTGCCAACGTATTGTAGTATTTGAGCATCATCGAATCCGAGGGGGACTCTGCAGACAATGTCTTGATCGTCGATTACGCGCCAGCATGTATTAAAACGATTAGATGGTGTGTTACAAAGCGAGGCAAAGTTGGCGGCAAAGT